CCATCATATAAACAAACTGCAAAAAAAGGAAACATGATCATCTCACTAAATGCTGAAAAAGCCTTTGACAAAATCCAACACCCCTTCATGTTAAAGGTCCTGGAGAGATCATGGATAACAGGAACACACCTGAACATAGTAAAAGCAATATACAGTAAACTAACAGTCAACATCAAATTAAATGGAGAGAAACTCAATACAATTCCTTTAAAATCAGGAATAAGATAAGGCTGTCCACTCCATTTCTCTACAATATTGTGCTTGAAGTTCTAGTTAGAGCAATAAGACGACAAAAGGAGACCAAGGAGATACAAATCAGAAAGGAAGAAGTCAAACTTTCACTATTTTTAGATAAGATAGTTTTCATAAGTGACCCAAAAAACTCTACCAGAGAACTCCTACAGCTTATAAACACCTTCAGCAAAGTGGCAGGATACAAGATCACCTCAAAAAAAAAAAAATAAAACAAAAAAACTAGTAGCCCTCCTATATACAGAAGATAAATAAGCTTAGAAAGAAATCAGAGAAACATCACCCTTTACAACTGCCACAAACAACATAAAAATACCTTGGGGTAAATCTCACCAAACAAGTGAAAAACCTGTATAGCAAGAAGTTTGAGTCTTTACAGAAAGAAATTAAAGAGGATACCAGGAAATGAAAAATATCTCCCATGCTCTTGGATAGGTAGGATCAACCTAATAAAAAATGGCAATCTTACCAAAAGCAATCTACAGATTCAATGAAATCCCCATCAAAATACTAGCACAATTCTTCACAGACCTTGAAAGAACAATAAACAACTTTATATGGAAAAATGAAACACCCAGGATAGCCAAAACAACAATAAAGGAAAGTCCAGAGGCGTCACCATCCCTGACTCCTAGCTCTATTTTAGAGCTAAAGTCCTGAAAACAGTTTGGTATTGGCATAGAAGTAGACAGGTAGATCAATGGAATTGAATTATATACCCTGATATTAACCCATACATGTACAAATACCTGATTTTTTGACAAAGAATCTAAAATTATACAATGGAAAAAAGAAAGCATCTTCAACAAATGGTGCTGCCATAACTGGATGCTGACATATAGAAAACTGCAGATAGATCCATATTTATTGCCATGCACAAAACTTAAGTCCAAATGGATCAAAGACATCAACATAAATCCAGCCACACTGAAGCTCTTACAAGAGAAAGTAGCAGGTACTCTGGAATGAACTGGTATAGGAGACAGCTTCCTGAACATAACACCAGTAGCACAGATCTTGAGATAGACAGTTAATAAATGGGACCTCTTGAAACTGAGAAGCTTCTGTAAGGCAAAGGACAGAGTAAGCAAGACAAAAAGGCACCCCACAGATTAGGAAAAGATATTCATTAACCCCACATCTGACAGAGGGCTGATCTCCAAAATTTACAAAGAACTCAAGAAGCAAGTCTCCAAAACACCAAATAATCCAATTAAAAAGTGGGGTACAGAACTAAATAGAGAATTCTCAATAAAGGAGTCTAAAACGGCTGAAAGACATTTAAGAAAGTGGTCAGCATCCCTCGCCATTAGGGAAATGCAAATCAAAACAACTATGAGATACCATTTTACTCCTGTCAGAATGGCTAAAATCAAAAAACAATGACAGTTATGCTAGAGAGGATGTGGAGAAAGGGGAACACTCCTCCATTTCTGGTGAGAGTGCCAACTCATACAGCCACTTTGGAAATCAGTATGGAGATTCCTTGTGGGGACACCAGACCTTGAGCAGAGACCCACTTCCCCTTCAGCCTGGGAGTAGGCAGCTGTAAGACAATGTTTACTAAAAACATGTTTACTAAAAACAATACAATGCCCGGGGCAATATGTTCCTGAAAAGGGCTGGACCACAGGAACCGCCCTGACCTCAACCTTCCTAAAGACTATCCACCTCTTCAGACCACCCACCCCTACCTCTGGTGTCAGGGTATATAATAACGAGCCAGACTAGGAATAAAGGAGAGCCCGAGGTCTATGTGTTGTCAATCCCCGACACCCTCCGCACGTTCTCGGACACAGGCTGCGCAGCGGACGCAGCAATTCCTCAGAAAAATGAGAATCAGTCTATCACAAGATCTAGCAATTCCACTCTTAGGCATATACCCAAAAGATGAACAGGGACATCTGTTCATCCATGTTCATAGCAGCATTATTTGTAATAGCCAGAACCTGGAAGCAACCTAGATGCCCCTCAACTGAAGAATATATAGACAAAGTATGGTACATTTACACAATGTAGTACTACTCAGAGGAAAAAAAATCTTGAAATTCTCAGGCAAATGGATGGAACTAGAAGAAATTGTCCTGAGCATGGTAACCCAGTCACAAAAAGACAAACATGGTATGTACTCATTCATACATGGATTTTAGACAGAGCAAAGGATTACTAGCCTACAGTCCACATTGCCAGAGAAGCTAGGAAACAATGAGGAACCTAAGAGAGACATACATGGTCCCCTGGAGAATGGTAAAGGGACAAGATGGTCTGAGCAAATTGGGAGCATGGGGAGAGGGAAGAGGAACCTAGAAGAAAGATAAGGGGAGAAGAGGAGGACATGAGGGAACAGGAAGTTTGAGTCAGGGGAAGAATAGAGGAGAGCAAGAAAAGAGATACTATAATAGAAGGGGCCATTGTAGGTTTAAAGAAAAATCTGGCACTAGGGAAATGTCCAGAGATCTACAAAGATGACATCAACTCACAATCTAAGCAATAGTGGAGAGGCTACCTTAAATGCCTCTCCCTGATAATGAGATTGATGACTACCTTATATGTCATCCTATAGCATTCATCCAGTAGCTGATGGAAGCAGAAGCAGACACCCACATTTAAACACTGAACTGAACTCCTGGAATCTAACTGCAGAGAGGGAGGAGTGATGAGCAAAGGGATCAAGACCAGGCTGGTGAAGCCCACAGAAACTGCTGAACTGAACAAGGGGGAGCTCATGAACCCCAGACTGATAGCTGGGAAACCAGCATAGGACTGACCCAGACCCCCTGAACGTGGCAGTCTATGGGGCCTTGGATAGTAGATCAGTATTTACCTAGCATGCCAAAGGACTTTGGGAGCCCATTCCACATAGAGGGACAGATACTCTCTCAGCCTAGATACAAGGGTTTGGGCGTAGGCCCAGCTCCAAATGATATGACAGACTTTGAAGATCCCCCTTGGAAGGTCTCACCCTCCCTGGGGAGTAGAAAGGGGATGGAATAGAGGGTTAGTGGAGGGCAGGGAAGGAGGGGAGGAAGAGAGAACTGGGATTGATATGTAAACAAGCTTGTTTCTAATTTAAACTAAAAAAATAGAGAAAAGAACAGTAGAAAACATGAACAAGAATGCAAAAGAATTGAAAGTTCAAACATTAAAAAAATAAAATAAAATATCTTTATAAGTAAAAAAATTATATATTTTAAGTCCATCCATTTTCCTGCAAATTTTGTGATTGCATTTTTCTTTAGAACTGAAGAGTAGTTCAATATATATAAAGTTTTCATTGTCAGCTCATCTTTTCATAGAGACCTAGGCTAATTCCAGTTCTTTGCTGTAGTTAATAGAGCAGCAATGAACAACATACAAATTTCTCTATGGTAGTTAATGGGTATAGGCCAAGAGTGAAATAGATGGGTCACATTGTATTTCTATCTGTAAGTTTTTGAGAAATCACCAAACTTATTTCTATAATTTTTATTTGCACCCCCATAGATTGTGACTAAGGGCCCCTGCCTTAGGTTTTGAAACTAGTGTGGCGTCTGCTGCGCGGCCTGTGTCCGAGAACGTGCGGAGGGTGTCAGGGATTGACAACACAGAGACTCGTTCAACGATGTAAAGAAAAGGTTCAAGAAAACTTCCTAAGAAAGGCTCCCTCCAGAGAAGCTTCTTCTCTCTCCTCTACCCTGGCTGCTTCTGCTCTGACCCCAAAAACTGATCTGGGCGTGTCAGAAGAGGCGGTTAGTCTTTGGACAAGGTTGAGGTCAGGGCGGTTTCCATGGGCAGGCCTTTTCCAGGAACGTATTGCCCCGGGCATTGTATTGTTTTTAGTAAACATGTTTTTAGTAAACATTGTCTTACAGCTGCCTACTCCCAGGCTGAAGGGGAAGTGGGTCTCTGCTCAAGGTCTGGTGTCCCCACAACTAGATTTTGAGAACTGGTAATATGCATAAAGTTCCACAAAGACCCAGAATTTGACCTATGGATTGAAAATAATATATTACTAAGAGCTCCTGTTGTACTTTGCACCTGTAAAACTTTCCAGAATGAAGACGAACACAGTCTCCAAGTTGTATGAGGATAAATGAATGAGGCCTTTTCAGAGCTCAACCTTGTCTCCTGGGAGGTGCAATGATCAACATCTGTGGTAATAGTATCTCAAACTGTAGTTGTCGACCATTAAAGATGAGGCAAGACTGAGTTAAACCTTTGTTTTGCCTTACTGAAAGTCCAGTGCTGTCAGGAACTCTTGTTCTCCAAAAGGACACATGTTCCAAAAATATCTCTCAGTCAGCTTCTACTCAATGCTCACACGTGGCTCCTAATCCTGACATATCTCCTCATGTCTGACCTGAAAGGTAGGTCCCCATGACAAACCCTTCAGCTGTAGCTACTCAGCTGATTTAGACAGTCAGCTTTCTGCTGCTGTGACAAATACCCAAGAGAAGATCAACCTGAGGGGGAGAACGAGCTCTTTTGCTCTTTCAGTTTTGTTGCTTCATGCCTTGTAGAAAGGCACCCATTATTAGAGGAAGGGGCCAAGGTTTCAGTATCCCTCCAAAGGCTTTCCACTGTGTAGGCCCTGCCTCCTACAGGTGCTGCCACCTCTTAATAGTTCTAACAGCTGGGACCAAACCTTTTGGAGATGTTCGATTTCTTAACCAACACACACACACACACACACACACACACACACAAACAAACACACACACACACACACACACTCACACACACACACCCTAACTCATAAATAGACTTACCCAAATCTTTTGAGATGTTTACCCAAACAGCTTAAGGCTACCAGTAATTTCTGTCTTCAATAGCCCTTCAGTTCCTCTGTTACAGAACTGGTTAAGTGAGTACAGAGAATCAACACTATGAAGTCAAGTATGGGGGTGGAGCAGGCAAAGGGATCAAGCAGTAGGGAGTAAACACAGTAACTGGGAGAAAAGCAAGGAAACCAGGTTTGCTCAGAGTAATGAAATACTCCAGACAGGAGTATGCTGAATGCTGTTTCAGCTACTCTGGGTTCTGCTGAGAGCTCAGAAAAGATGAAGCTAAAAGTGACCAATGAATGTAGAGATTTGACAAGGAAGCATTGTGGAGGAGAGGTTGAAGTCCACAATGTGTCTGGAAGTCTTCTCAGCAAAGCAGGAAATTTCAAACTGTCCATCTGCATAGGCAGTCTGTCAGTCATTTTTCTGTGTCCTGCAGAAAGTCTGGTAGACTTTTCCATGAAGCAGGAACCCTGAAGGACTGTTTGAGTTCAGCAGTCACTTTCCTGTGAGTCCTGCATGTCCAGTTTATACAGTAACAGTCAAACAGTCTAGGCAAGAGCAGTTTCTTGACCTAATGGCTAACTTGCCATGTTGAAAGCAAACTCCATAACGAGTTTCTTCGATGCCCATCTTCCTCTCAGACATAACTGGTACTGTCAGGAGCAGACATTTCTCATTGTCAAGAAAAACCCTAAACCATTTTAAATGCCATTTTCTGAAGGTCTTTGAAAGGTTTGAAGACTATATATCTCAAATACATTTCTTTATATCTAGAAAGCCTAACTTACCTAACTATAAGTTCTGACTTTAGAAGTAACTATCTACAATCTGTATTTTTATTATGTATTACATTTTAAGAGGTCAGTATAAGCACAATACTTAATCAAGTATCACAAAATTGACCTTGAATTTGTATCAATAAATGAAAAACCATACCAATACAAAGTATTCATTTCCATACCATAATTCCCCTTTTACCTTCAAAAAGAGATTGGTTGTGATCATTAACCAATTATAAGCAACCCCATTCAAATGAAAACAAAGATTTATAAACAATATGGGAATTTGGACGTTGCTCATTCCAAACTGCTTCCTGCTGGATGGGAGCGCTGTTCATAACATGGGGATCATGACAAAACACAGAAACCTTTAGAAGTGCTTATTTTCATGGTCTGTAAGGTTGCATCATCTTAGCTGTCTTAATTGTTGGAACACCTGGCCCACTGCTTCCGGGGGGCTTGTTTCATCAAACCACAGAAGCCTGGAAGGAATCCACAGCTTTCCATTTTCTGTAGAAACATAAACAAAAACTCTTTTCCCAAGTAACTGGTCCTTATATTTAAAGTTAGAGGTCAAAGAAATTTTGAAATATATAAGTTGGATTAATTCAGCAGCATTTATAATCAAGTATATTTCAGCAGTTGATCCTTCCTTAGCCACTGGACAACTGAAAAACACAATAGCATACAGTATCCAGACTTTCTGTGTATTTTCCATCTTACCTGGCTTATATTACTCTATTTCTTTTACTTTTACTTATTTTTCTCTGAGACAGGGTTTCTCTTTGGAAATCTACCTGCCCCTGCTGCTGGAGTGCTTGGGATTAAAGGTGTGTGCCACTATACCCAGCTACTCTTTGTTTATGTTTTCCTTCCCAGTGCTGCGATTAAAGGCGTGTGCCACCACACCCAGCTACTCTCTTTACGTTTTCTTCCCCAGTGCTGGGATTAAAGGGGTGTACCACCACACCCAGCTACTTTATTTTTATTTTTTCAACATCTTGTTTCTTTTACTCTCCCAAGTCTACCTATATTTTTCTTCATCTGAATCTGACTTTACTGTAAAACTTAATGCTTTTCTGGCCACATGTCTTATATAGGCTAAAGAACATTGCTAAAATTAAAGCGGAAACAGTCACTGGCTTTCCAACATGGCGGCATAAGCGTGACTCCAGCTCACCGCCTCAGACACCCAGCAGCATGGTGCCGGCTTAGAGATGTGGTCACTGCCACTGCCAGATGCTCATGCACATCATTCAATTGTTAGCAGAGCCTCTTGAAAGAACCTTGCTGGGCTTTTTTGTTTTGTTTTGTCTTGCTTTGTTTTGTTTTCTGAGTCAGGAAGACTCCCTTAAGTGAGCCGTGTGTCTCTGCTTGTCACTAGCAAAGCAGAGCCCACCTGAGAAAAATGCTGCTACCAAAAAGCCGTGCTTCTCTCTGTTCTTTTGTTTCTAAAATCCCTTTTAAGCTTTTGTCATTCTACGTGGAAATTCTTATCCCACTCTGACAACCAATGAGGTTAATTAAGTGCCATCATGCACAAATTCTGCTGTCTCAATGTGCAAGACAACTGTCTCTGCATACTGAGAATCCGTGACTATATTGAGAAGCTCTGTAAAGTCTTTAAGTACAATGAGAATGGCATATAACTCTGCCTTTTGTACGGAGTTGTAAGGGCTTTGAACTTCTTTACTTATATTTCCTGAGTTATACCCTGCCTTACCTGATTTGTTTTCATCCATGTAGAAGGTAAGAACTCCAGAAATAGGTGTTTGTCTCACAATACATGGAAGAATCCAAATTGTTTTCTTTATGAATTTGATTCTCTCTGTTTTGGGATAGTTGTTACTAATAGTTCCAAAAAAGTTACTGCAAGCTATTTGCCAATACTCATTATCCTTCCATAAGGAGGAAATTTCCTCATTAGTCATGCTTGTTTTATTTCTCACTTGGATGATGGGCTACATACTCAGATCTCCACACTTATGCAGCAGACAGTTTGCTGACAGCTCTCTCCCCACTCCATGAGCCCTTTCAGCAAGTGTTCCAGCCTATGGAGGCTAGAACAAACAGTGAATTCTCTTGGCAGCTTTGAACAGGCACTAAAAGGGGCTTGGGCCATCCAAGAGAACCATTAGAAATGGTGCCAGGGCTGAAGTCTTTTCATGTGGAGAGGATACGATCTGGAAGTTCACAGGTTTTGTAGGCCAAGGTCAAGGCCTACTTAAGGACACTCCAGGAAGCTGGTTGTTTAGTCAAGGAGAGATTTTGTCATTCTCAAGCTACCCAGCGCCAACCTTTTTTCAACATTTAATTGAGAGAAAAGTTACATCTGGTCTGTTTTTTCCTTACCTGCTTCTATCATTTTCTCCTCTGATTTTTTAGCATCTACTATATTTCTCACATAGAAATTTCTCAAATGTTACCTCAGCAATTCTCATAATCTTATGTCGTGCACACATGCACACAATGACACTTTCCCCCGGGACTATTTAGCTAATGTCACCCAGTTACAGGATCTGTGCTGTGCAACGCTGGGCTACAAAGAACTCTTAATGTATTACTCCCAACTCCCCACCCCCACACACATTCTGACACCTACTAAAGACAGCTCAGATCCACTGCAACTTCCACCAACATTGTTTTTTATTTTGTTTTTAATTTAGCCCTGCAGAACCTGGCCCTTAAGACAAAGGTAGGTGTGTTTCAACATTCTCACAATTTGGAGACTAGTCATCCCAGAGTCCCTCAATGGTAAGCAATTTGCAGCTTATTCTCAGAGTATTGGGAAACCATAGACCCCATGAAATACCAGCCATACTTGGAAGGACAGATTTAATACAAAAGATCCTAAGTATTGTTGGGGGTCAGAACTAGTCACAACTAGCAGGAGTGGAATGGTGCAGTCACTTTGAAAGCAGTACGACGGTTTTTCGAAGTTCAGATGGAGTTGTTAGTCTAGCAACTCCACTCCTTGATTTCAACTTCACTCAACAGAAATGAAAGTGTATGCATACAAAAACAGGCACATGGATGCTTATAGCTGCATTATTCTTAATAGCCAAGAGGTGGAAACACTGACATGCCTAGCAACTGCTGAATATATTAATGGAAATGAAATATAGAATACAATGGAATACACTTCAATGAGAAAAAGAAATGGAATCTTGACTTATGCTACAGCTCATGAACCTTGAAAGCATTATGCTAAATGAAAGACAGCAGACACAAAGACCACATATTGTATGGCAAATTCATAGAGAAAGAAACTTAAGCAGTTTTTCTAGGCAAAGGTTTGTGGAGAGGCAGCTAAGCAGTAGTGATTGCTAAAACGTAAAGGCTTCTTTTGGGGCCGATGAAAATACCCTAACACGGTGGTCGCACCTATCTGTGAATATTAGTAAGAAACATAGCCTAAGACACACACACACACACACACACACACACACACACACACACACACACACACACACACACAGGCTAATTTGTTTGATACTTCATTAGTGGTGTTATTTTTTTAATGCTCATTTTAATAACTAAAATTTGTGATTGAAAATCTAAAACGTTGTTATTTCTAGTCCCCGTGCCAATAACTGGGGGGCTCCCGGGCGAGCCCGGGCTTGCACGTGTGCGGTCGCCCATGCTGCAGCAGCGCTGCAGAGGTTAGTCCAGACAGTGTAGGACGCTGCCGCCCGCAGCCCCAGGTCAGCGCGCGCCCCTCCTCCGGGCCTGAGTCACGGCGTCGCCCGAGTCCGAGTCCCCACGCGAAGATGCTGCGGTGAGCGCGGTGGGGACGCCGCCGGCTCTGGGGCGCAGCGTGGGGCTCTCGGCCGCCGGGCGGCGCCGCTCGGGACTGCTGGGGACAGTCGGCGGCCTGCGCGCCCCGGGCCTCCATGGCGTTCACCCGGAAGAGGCAGCGCGAGCAGCAGCTGCAGCTCTACTCCAAGGAGAGGTGCGCGGGGCGGGGGGCCGGGAGGCCGGGCGGTACTCAGGCGCTCTCCCCGCAGGCCGCGGCCGCCTCCCGGGTCCGGGAGCCGCGAGTGGGCCCGGCTGGCGGGGACCTCGGGACGCAAAGGCAGGGCCAGCCCGCGCCCGCGTGGGGGCGAGCAGCCCGCGTCCGTCCCCTCCCCCCGGGGGCCCTGCGCCCCACGGCCGGCCTGCGTGGAAAGCTGTTGGTGAAGCGCGTGCGACCGCACCGCACGGTCGCGGTCACCCACGAGCCAGGAAGGACTTGGGTAAAGCTGCGGCCTCCCTCGGATCCTGTCCCCTTCCAGGGAAGCGCACTTCCGTCCCGCGTGTCCTTCCCAGTGCGGTTTTGTGACCCGCGCGCCTACGGATAATCCAGCTGTGCTTCCAGTAGGAATGCCGGCTAAACCGTTTTTGCAAACGTGGGGTTTGTGGGAGCTGAGGTCGGACTGTCGCGTTGTCTCTCGGGGGAGCCAGCAAAGCTGGGTATAACTGGAAACACAGGTGCAGCTTTTCATTCTGGGTAGATTTCCCTTCACCTGTAGCTGTTACTCAGCCCGCCGCTTCCTCCATCCAAACATCCATCTTCTTTAATCTGCCATGTCGGGCTGGTCCGTTCTGAAATTGCATTTCCCACCTGAGTTTACATGGGATTTCTTTGTCTGGCACCAGCGACTTGTTAAGAGTTGGTGCTGTGTTTTTGCATTGATGAGCATGAACGTTTTAAACTGTTGTCATGTTCTAGACTTCGTTAATAGTCATTTGTAATAATCCTGTGGCTTCAGTGATGAATGGAAAACCCGGGAGGGAGGGTTGTTATGTTCTGTTTTGTCTTTAGATTCTGACTGTTGTTTTGATCATCTTACACTGTTTGTAAGCGGTCTCTGCTGTTTCCAACATGTGCTGTTTTGTTTACATGTTAGGCCCACAGTACTGCCAGGTAAGAAGAGTTCTAGCCCAAGCATTTCTCAGCCATTAGCATCAACTATTCTCTATAATCAGCATGGGCTCTTGAATTCTATTTCCTGATCACCCCTAATTCTTTTTCTCTGCCTAGTGGCTCTTAAATCTTAGGGTACTGTTCATAGATACACATTTTTTAAAATTAAGGAACATCTCTGACTGTGAGATTTAAACTTAAATCTAGGAGAGTCTTTAGAAAACCACACAATTCATTCAAAAAGACCAACTTTTAAAAGTTAACTTTGGAAAACCAACCTTACTGAGACCCAAATTTAACATTTCTGCCCACGTGTTTCTTGCCTTATCTGTCATTTGGCAACATTAAGGACAAATGAGCAAGATGATATAGGCCTTTGGCTCCAGCTATCTCAGAGAACTGTTCCTTCTCCCGGGGAGCTTGAGGCTAGCTGGAGAGATAACCAGAGGCCTCCCCCTCTGCACTATGGCTCCTCTCATATTGAGTTTGGTGATTTTTAGATTTCTATAGCTGCCCAGCAGTGACCCCAGAGAAAGAGAAGCTGAAGTTAGCGTGTATGTATGTCTCTGATTGCTGGCTGATTGAGCTCCAATTAGAATGAGCAGAGTTTGTTTGGGAGATTCTGTGCCTGGAGTTTCGGCTGCATTGATGACACGGAAGAACGCAGCAAAGTGGACATGTATTCTACATGTTTAGTGAGACAGGGATGGCAGGAGATGGTATAGTGTATGGCATTTAAGAGAGCGGAGAAAGAAGCCCGGCTGGCATTGTTAGGTACAATATGAGACACTCAGTTAAATATTAATTTCAAATGATTCTTGGCATATGTCCCATGTAGATTTGGGGACATATTTATACTAAAAAGCTTAGTGCAGATTAAGTATATTGTTTCTCTTCAGTCTAACGCTCTCCCAACTGAGCTATTTCGGTGGCTAAGTATATTGTTTCTCTAAAATTCAACTTTAACTGGAATCCTGTACTGCTACTTGCTAAAACCACACAGCCCTGCACAGAGACTTCTGGTAGGAATAGCCATGCACTGGTGCTGTTTGCTGAAGTTTATGAAAAAAAAAGAATGCTTTACTGATTTTCAGGACCAGAATGCAAATAAATGATTAGTTCTATTTGTTCAAATTAAGTGCTTTGTATCCCTACCATTATGTCAGCAGCCATATCAATTTTGCTAGTCATTTTTAAATATCATGATTAGATGTTGATGAAGACAAATGACGAAAGAAACACATTCACATATATTCTCTGAAATAGTTGAGCATGGCAGAAGTGGTCAGTGGGTAAGGAAAGGAGGATATTCTACCAATTCACTTGTTATTCTATTTCCAAATTGTTCTATTTAAAATTTATCTTCACAACTATTTTTATCTTGCTTATGTAGAAGTTTACATAGTTGAGACACATGCCTTCAAAGCAGAAACTGTAGCTTTATTTCTGTGATGTAATAGAATGAACAACCGTGGTTTGTAAGGTGTCATGTCAGGCTAAAATGTTCGTGATTCTTAGTTTTCTGTTGTATGCCTACATGGCACATGAATAATTGTACAGTTTTGTTGTATGCCTACATATTACATGAATAGTTTTACAGACATTCCAGAGACTTCCAGTTGACTTTAGAGAGTCCATGGACATATAATTCCTTGGTTACATGTTTGTTTATTAGTTGAGTTTGCATTTATGAAAAATACTTTTTAAGAATACTAAGTGATTTATTATTCTCCTGTGTGATCTTCCATTTCTAACATGAAACATTCCAGTCTTTTATACCTGTTTTGTAGGTTGTGCCAGAGAGTGGAAAAGGAGATAAATGGCAGAATCAGCACTCACTCAGGAATGTAATGGATCACAAAAATTGTACCTTCAAAAAATTGGCTTTTTTTTCAAATATAAATCAGTGAGAGAGAAAATAAATGTTGCAAACTTAGAATTTACATTGGCTTCATCAAAAATGCTTAGTAGCATATCTCCTCCTTATTCTGTTATTATTTCATATTAACTTATTCCAAAGCAAGAATCTGCTCATAAGTGGAATTTGAGTTTTTTGCTGTATGATTTGCATCAACTGTATGCTTTAAGTATGATATAAAAAAGAGTAGATATTTAAGGTTTCAGTGCTTAGTTTTAGTTTCTTTCCCTCTCTGTCTTCCCCACCTCACCATGCTTCCTTCCTTCCTTCCTTCCTTTTCTGAGATAGGGTCACATGTAGTACAGGCTAGACTGGATTATTCACCCCTTGTCCTCACCTCCCGAGTGCTGTGATGCAATCATACCCATTTTTTTTTTGGTGTTTTGTTTTTTTTGTTGTTGTTGTTTTTTGTTTTTTTTGTCTTTTTGTTTTTGTTTTTTTCGAGACAGGGTTTCTCTGTATTGTTTTGGAGGCTGTCCTGGAATTCACTCTGTAGACCAGGCTGGCCTCGAACTCACAGAGATCCGCCTGCCTCTGCCTCCCAAGTGCTGCAATCATACCCATTTTTAACTTACTCTTTTTTCCTCGGTACTGGGGATGCTGGGGACTGAACATAGCCACCTGCAGATGGAAGGCAAACATTCTCTCTGGTCCTGTTATCTATCTGGTTGTATTTTTATCAGAAACTTAGAATTGTTGTCTTTTTCCTGAAGTGAATCTTTTAGGAACCTATAATAACTTCACTGTTTCTAGTGATTTTTAAAAATTTTATCTGATTGTTTATATAGCTGTACCAGGTGGTTTTCTATATACAAAATTTTCCCTTCTTTTATTTCTTCTGTAACCTTGTGTTTTATGTATGAATAGTATATTATCTAACTTTTAAACTAAAAAATGCATTTTGTTGATTTATTTTTTGCATGTGTATATATGCGTGTGGACACGTGTAAGTGGAGGTCAGTTACGGTCAGTTACAGGAGTCAGTTCTCTGCTTCTACCATGTGGGTCCAAGAGAGCAAACTTGGGGTGTCAGGCTCAGCAGCAAACACTGAGCCATTTGCTGGCCCCTTCTTGTTGAAGTTTTTTAGTAGTTCATTTTGAATCTTAGTCTTAAGAAAAATTTCAGTTAGTATTATTACAGATTTATTTATGCTGTCTTATTTCATTCTTTGACTTCATCTCCTACCCTAGCCCTTAACGTTCGTGCAGAGTGTGGGGTTCTGTGCTCCAATTTCATCTTTGTTTTAGTGTCTGAGGCTAGTCCTTCTCTTTACCTTCCTCTCTACCAATGTGCAGGCCCTGGATTAATTACTCCTGTTGTCCCATACTAAATTATAGTCCACTGTTGTCCAGTTAGATCTACACTTTAGCATTATGATTGCTTGATTAATACTTGTGTGGTTTTATGTGCATGCTTGCTACAGTCTTTGATGGGTTTTCCCTCTTGCATGTCACGTTTTCCTTATGGAAGTTTTCTTAATAATATCCTGTAAAGTTCCTCCAAGTGGTGTCTGATGATAGTAAACTGCCTTTGGTTTTGCATAGGTAAATATATCCTTCTTTTACCCTTGCTTTGAGAATAGTCTTGCAAGATGTATCATTCCCTTAGCGTTTTGAAGATTCTAAGCAAAGGCAGATGACCAGAGAATATGCCAGGACTTGCTGGAGTAAATCATGATACCACTAGCAGAGAAATGGTTGGTCGTAGGTATGTCCTGCTGTCCTGGACATCACTGAGCTACTCAGCTTTGTGTCTTGAGATAGGGGGAAACATGAATCCTGCAGAATGACCAGGTGTCAAGACATGGTAGGTTCTACTGGTTAGCCCTTCACAGACCAGCATTTGTGGCTTTGGGCTGTCCTTACCCCAACTGGCTTGACTGGGAACTACGTAAATCCATCAGATCTGGTAGGGTTTGTGGCATCCCTGTGCAGTTAGGAAACATGAGCACATTCCCAGTCATTTGGGAGCTGGGTCTAAGCCTGTGGACAGCCAGGCTTGACAGCCTTAAACACAAACCCATAGCCAGCTTCTGGGCAGCTTCCCAGGACACCACCTTCTCATCTGAACAAACCAGTACTGCTGCTGTTGAACTGTTGTTTATAATAGAATGTCTTCTCTGGAAGC